TACTACTACTACTACTACTACCACTACTACTACTACTACTACTACTACTACTACTACTACTACTACTACTACCTCAAGACTCAAGACTGTGGATCGATACAGCTCACGCTCGAGATCCCACTTCCTCGTCCTCGTCCTCGTCCTCCGACGGCCACGACGACAACGCCGCCGCCGACGAGAGGGGCGGGGGGATGGGGAGAAGCAGGAGGACAGGGAGGACATGGAGGTGGACGCGGAGGAAGTGGTGAACCCAGGACTCGGGCCTCAGGTGTCCGCGGGAGGTGTACTTCGCCGGCGGTGCCCAATCAGGCCACTTGGTGTCCCTCGGCTGCCTTCGAACGCGGCGTGGATCATCGCCGCTGCGATTAAAAATGCCTGTGGCAGGGTTCCGCAGGAGAGCCTCTGCCTGTTGTGAGCAGCGCGCGAGAGGCGCATGCAGACTGCGCAGTGGGAGGAGGAGGAGGAGGAGGAGGAGGAGGAGGAGGAGGACGACGACGACGACCGACGACGACGAGATGTAGGAAGAGGAGGAGGAGGAGTGGGTGGGGGAGGATGGAGAGGGGTGGGGGAAGAGGAGGAGGAGGAGAAGGAGGAGGAGTGGGACCAGTATAAACCCAACACGAATCAACGATGTCGAAATAAACCCTCCCTCTAAGCCCCGTGTTCATAAGTCCCTACACGGATTCATCTCCACTGGGGGAAGTGCCCCGTTTGGAGACAACCGATAGAAGACCATGACGCGTGCCAAGACAGTTTTCTCGGGACTCCAACTCCACGAATCAACCTGACTACTGCGCCTTGGCGCTCCGGAATCTGGCCAGAACATTTCTCCTGGGACTTAACACCGCGAATCAAAGCAACTGCTGCGCTTTGACAATCGTAAGTCGCTCCAAAAACATTGTTTTGGGTACGCTAGCCACTGCGAGTCCGCGAATGTTCTGTAATTGTTTAGAACGACTGCGCGCGGCGGTAAGGCGAGAGCCGCATGTTAAAAAGGAACCGTTTTGAATCCGTGACAGTCTTACAGTTTTTCATCTAAACATGATCGACCCACGAACCCGGAAAGGAATATTGAAATGTAAGGCATGGCGGCGTTTGAAAGACACCTGATTGGGAGACGGGCAAGTGCAATGCTGAGTGTATCGATCTTGATGTACCGTGCCGAGGGCTGTGCTGTGCTGGGCCGTTCTGAATTGCGATGTGCCATGCCGCGATTGTGCTCTATAGCGTTGTGGATCGAGTCCTCCTTTGCATCCGAGTCTTGACCGAACCGATCTGGATCTTAAGCTCGAGCTGCCTGAGCACACAGTAGCTGCCCAAGAGCTAATTGACAGGGGGAACATGCTAATTAGGAGAACTCGCCGCGGAACGTTCCAAGAGACGCGCCAGGCGACGTGCCAGGGGACGTGCCATGGCGACGCACCGCGGGACCTGCCAAAGGGACGCGCTACGGAACGTGCCACGGGACGTGCCAGGGGACGCGCCGCGCGACGTGCCAGGGGGACTCGCCACGGGACGCGCCACGGAACGTGCCAAGGAACGTGCCAAGGTGCAATGTTGAGTGTATCGATCTTGATGTATCGTACCGACGGCTGTGCTGTGCTGGGCCGTGCTGCATTGCGATGTGCCATGCCGCGATTGTGCTCTATAGCGTTGTGGATCGAGTCCTCCTTTGCATCCGAGTCTTGACCGAACCGATCTGGATCTTAAGCTCGAGCTGCCTGAGCACACAGTAGCTACCCCAGAGCTAATTGACAGGGGGGCATGCTAGGAGAACTCGCCGCGGAACGTTCCAAGGGACGCGCCAAGCGACGTGCCAAGGGACGTGCCATGGGGACGCACCGCGGGACCTGCCAAAGGGACGCGCTACGGAACGTGCCAATGGACGTGTCACGGGCCGTGCCAAGGGACGCGCCGCACGACGTGCCAGGGGGACTCGCCACGGAACGCGCCAAAGAAAGTGCCAAGGTGCAATGTTGAATCTAACGATCATGATGTACCGTGCCGACGGCTGCGCTGTGCTGGGCGTGCTGAACTGTGATGTGCCATGCCGCGATTGTAACGATATTGATGTACCGTGCCGACGGCTGTGCTGTGCTGGGCCGTGCTGAACTGCGATGTGCCATGCCGCGAGTGTGCTCTATATAGCGTTGTGGATCGAGTCTTCTTTGCATCCGAGTCCTGCCCGAACTGATCTGGATCTTAAGATCGAGCTGCCTGAGCATATGGTAGCTGCCCCAGCACTAATTGACGGGGGGACATGCCAGGAGGACGCGCTGCGGAACGTCTCAAGGGACGCGCCAGGCGACGTGCTAGGGGACGTGCCACGCACCGCGGGACGTGCCAAGGGGACGCGCTACGGAACGTGCCAATGAACGTGCACCGCGCGACGTGCCAGGGGGACTCGCCACGGGACGCTCCGCGGAACGTGCCAGGCAACATGCCAGGCTGCAATGCTAAGGGTATCGATATTGATGTACCGTGCCGAGGCCTGTGCTGTGCCTCGGCGACCTGGACACGTGAAAACACGCGTTTCGTTCAAGACGTTCTCAGCACATCCTCATGCTAGACATCCGCCTGGGCAACCTGGACACGTGCAAACAAGCGTCTCGATCGAGACTTCCTCGACACATCCTCAAGCTAGACATCCGCCTGGGCGACCTGGACATGTGAAAACAAGCCTCTGGTTCGAGACATCCTCAATAAATCCTCATGCTAGACATCTGCCTGGGCAACCTGGAGGCGTGAAACCAAGCGTCTCGCTCGAGACATCCTCAAGACCTGGGCACGTGAAACCAAGCATTTCACTTGAGAGATCCTCTAAATTCTGGCCCCCAGGAGAGGACAATTCTTTTAACACACAAACAAGCGGTTTCGCTCGATGGACTTCCTCTCAACAAAAATTATGGAAAGAAGAAAAACAAAAAAAAAAAAAAAAAAAAAAAAAAATCGTTTCGCTAGGGACATCCTCAAATTTTAAATTCGCGGGCGCTTTTCCACTGTATTTATCGCACAAGATATCCGCCGGCCCTTCCTCTTCCCGTCAGTCCCGCGGGGTAAACCACTAAAGAGAACCTTGGGACTTGGTTTGTTGTCCCTTTCCGGGAAATGATCGACCAACGAACCCGGAAAGGAATATAGAAATGTAACGCATGGCAGCGTTTTCAAAGACACCTGATTGGGTGACGGGCAAGTGCAATGCTGATTGTATCGATCTTGATGTACCGTGCCGAGGGCTGTGCTGTGCTGCACTGTGCTGAATTGCGATGTGCCATGCCGCGGTTGTGCTCTATAGCGTCTTTGATCGAGTCTTCCTTTGCATCCGAGTCCTGACCGAACTGATCTGGATCTTAAGCTCGAGCTGCCTGAACACATAGTATCTGCCCCTGTGCTAATTGACAGGGGGATCATGCCAGGAGGACGCGCCCGCCCGAAACGTCCCAAGGGACGCGCCAGGCGACGGGCTCAAGGGACGTGCATGGGGTGCACCGTAGGCAACGTGCCAGGGGACGCGCACGGGGGAATCCTCAAAAATCCTGCGCGCAGGGACGCGGCACGCGCGAGACATCCCCGGAATTCCTGCGAGCGGGACACGAAAACAAGCATTTCGCCTGAGACATCCTCTGAATTCTGGCCCCCCACGAGGCCCCCGCTCGAGACATCCCCCAAGTTTGCAAAACCAGCGTTTCGCTCGAGGCATCCTCAACAAGTTATTAAAAACAAGCGCTTCGCTCGAAACATCCGGCCAAAATCCATGGACATCCTGGCAAAACAAACGAATTAGTCGAGACATCCTCAAAATTCCTGCGCGCGGGACGCGGCACGCGCGAGACATCCTTGGAATTCCTGCGAGCGGGACACGAAAACAAGCATTTCGCCTGAGATATCCTCTGAGTTCTGGCTCCCCACGAAGCCCCCGCTCGAGACATCCCCAAATTTTGCAAAACCAGCGTTTCCCTCTAGACATCCGCAACAAACTATGTAAACATGATGGACCCACGAACCCGGAAAGGGATAAAGACATGTGCAGCATGGTCACGTTTTCACGATACCCAACTGGGCGACATCTCACGAAACATCCCACGAGACACCCCGCGAAACATCCCACGAGACACCTCACGAAACATTCCACGAGACACTCACGAAACATTCCAGAGACACCCCGCGGAAACAATTCCACGAGACACCCACGAACAGGCAACACTTCAACCTGACACGCCACGAAAACATTCCGCGGGGGAGCGACGGGTCGGTTCGTTGCTGGGGTTGT